TCCCGCGAGGTCGAAACCGCAGTGCGCAATTGAATGGACAACATCAACTTGAAGCATGGGATTGTGGAAAGATTGCGCTACCAGTCCCTCATCTCCATGACCGAAATAGGCGCAGGCCAACTCATATTCATGCAGTTTGTGCCAGCCAGCTTCTCCAATCGTCCGACCGAGGTCGGGCTAGCTGGATCCAGTTCTGAAACGGCGTTTGTGAGTCAATCTCGGCTGAACTAATCACATTTGTGGCATGAGTGAGATGCGAATAAGAGTTGGATTTCGAGGAATGTCTTGTTTCATAATTGTTGAGCTGACCTGCATTTCGAGTGAAAGTGTGCCGTGAAAAGGTTCCAAAGTCGATTCCTCTTGACCAGCTGTCGGCTGGCTCCGGTGGAACATTCATGCCGACGCTGTTGCCGAGGCGATCGCCTTCGATTCCGGTGAAAAGGAGCCAAGCTATCAACCGTCACATGACGCACATCATCCGAACGAGGCAGCATCGTGACAACCAAATTCAAGCTGACGGATCAAGGAAACTCTCCGGCAAATCGTTGAAAAACGATATATCTACTGTACATGTGGCCTCTTTAATGAGGTATACAGTGATTTGGTTATTTACGGTCATAGGTTGACCTCGAAACCCGTGAATGTGTCTGTCTCTGTTTGCGTATGTGCTTCGCATTAGGACCAACAAAACGAGACGAGTGTCCGACCTTGCGCAATCGTGGTGATGGTAAGGGTCATCAAACCTTGTTGGCCGAGAATAGACGTTACTTTTGCTGTTCCAATTACTTTAGGCCATCACATACACACACATACAGACACATACACATACAGACACATACACATACAGAGACAGACACACGCACAGCCTTCGAGGTTGACACATGACCATAACTAACCAAATCACTTTCTACCTCATCAAAGAGGTCAAACATAGAATGTATATGAGATGTATTCACCCAATTTTGTTTAAAGTGATGAAGGGAGACCCGAAAAATAATACTTAATTCGAAAAATAGAATTTTTATGTACAGCTTTTTAGGAATGTTGCAGGACGTTTTCTTGACTCGTTGGCTTCAATTTGGTTGTCACGATGCTGCCTTGTTCTGATGATGTTCGTCATGTGATGGACAAGAGGTTGACACCGTTTCACCGAAATCGAAAAAAAAACAACGTCAACATGAATCTTCCAGAATGGCCAATCGACGGTTGGTCAAGAGGACACTTTCACTCGAAATGAAAGTGAGCTCAACAAGTAAGTAAGATGGCATTTTTTTCTGTACATATTAAAAGGTAAGATTAGCCACCGCCAGAAATAGTTGACTTTATGTGCCGTCGGAGCTAGCGATGCGGCTTGGTGTATAAAAAGTTCTATCATTCCATCTATCAACAAGTTTTAGGCCAACGGGACTCGAACTCGGGCCCAATGTGGACGGAGCAGTTTTCTGCCAAACTCATGACCGAAGCTCGTTGCGTGGCGAAGTAAAATTGAACATACTCGCCACTGGCGCCAGTTTTTCATGTTCTCGTTCATTTGTTTTAGCAATTTGTTTTGATTAGGTCGCATATTGGCGAGTCGAGAATTATTGGACCTTTTTCACCACAACCAACCAGGCTTAAACTTATTTCGGGACCTTTGCGATTGACCGCAGCCGCCAGAGCCATGTTGCCAATCAGTTCAAATCCCGTTTGTTTGTTTCTATTCATTTGTTTAATTATTTGATTTTCTATTTGCTAGTGCAAAAATTGTCTAAAATGCTTCACCACAACCAAAACTCTAACTTCCCTCCTGGCTTTCAAAGATTCCCGCACCGACTGTTTTGCGGGCGATTTCCCCATTTTCCCAAAAGCCACTCTCATTTCTTCTCAACCGATCCTCTTTTCCAGTGCTCTACGTCATCACCTCCGGCGCCATGGTGCCGAATATCGAGACAATTGGGCATCTGGTCCCGTTGGGAAAAGACGAACGCAACCTGACGACCTGCCTGGCAAGGTGTACCCGACGGCCCAAAGAGCAGGATAGTCCGTGCAGCGCAGTCAACTACGACACCAGCACCAACAAGTGTTATGCTTTGCAGACTCCGGTTGATCCAAAAGAGGTCATCGCAAAAGGCGAATGGACCTACGCCTATCGTGAGTCAGAGCAGGCTGATCCAATGCCTCATGTCGAGGAAGAGAAATCCGCAGCTTCCCAACTCGGTCCTCAAACATGAGCAATGAGTCTTGCTTTTGCTTACAAATCTCCAATTAACGTAGGAATTAGACTTTTCCGAGAGTTTTAAGTCAGAAGAAAGGATCCATTGTGCCCGGAGGGTGGAGCACCGGGCGAAAATAAGCGCATATAGAACGATTTAAGAAGCCTACGTCAAAAGGGTTTGTGTGATAAAAGCAATTTAATCTTAGAAACCCACTTTTGCACAGTTTATTGGCTCCCAACATGTGCCACATCATTTTCCTCTAATGGGTGGTAATAAATAGCTTTTTCACTTTTTGCTATTTTTCAAAAGCCAGATTCACGTTAAAGGGAAAATATCATCTAATTTGGTGAGATTGTTGAAAAAGACTGATTGGCCACGTTCGAATTTGCGATCCAGAGCCTGTGCTGACTGCAAAATACAATTTTACTAATAGATAAAATTAGGGAGATAGCATATCCACAAAATGGTGTTAAATAAACAAATGAAGTGACTATAAAACTATTTCATTTCGTATGAAGAAGAGATTGGTTGCTCGATCTCACCAGATGAGGACGAATGAATCCCGTTGTACTGCAGCCGTTTAGCTTTTATACGATATTCATGTTGACGCAGTCCATGAGACTTTTACAAGAATGGCACCCAGCTCTGATGATGCCCATCGAATGTTGGACGAAAGCTCAACATGTTTTTATCCGAAACGAGGGAGGAAGTCTAGTGGACTGTGTCAACATGAACATCGTAGAAAAGGTAAACGGCAGCAGTACAACGAGATTCATCCGTCCTCATCTGGTGAGATCGAGCAACCAATCTCTTCTTCATTCACTTTCATACGAAATGAAGGTCCCCCTAAAAATGTTATCTCAAGAGATTCATCTGCATATCTATAAAATTATATAAAATGGAAATAAATGTCAAGATGATATTTTCAAAAATTATTATTAATGACTAAAGACAAATATTATATAATGACGTGTTGATAAATTATTCCATTAATTACATAACAAGTATTATACTTCTTATTTTTAATTTTACTTAATAACACGTTCTAATTAGTTTTAACTCATAAAAGTAATAATAATATTTCTTCTTATTCACAATAATTAATCTTTAATAAATATGCTACAATGATCAAAATATCCGAATGAATAAACGCAACTTTCGCCTAGAACGGAGAAACCGTAG